TTAAATATTTTTAGAAATCTTCTTTCTCTCTCCCTTTTGGGTTTTTTGCATGCCTATTTTTGAGTACCTCCAGGTTTAAGAAGTGCTCTATGTTTGTCCAGTAGATGCAAAACATGTCCCTTTTATCAGAAACTCATTATTTTGTAAGCAACTCTACGGATAAAAGGTACCCGATCCAGAAACATCTAAAATGTGAACATTCGAATGTAATATATTTAATTTCATACAAGAAATGCCCCAAACAATATGTAGGAGAAACTAAGAATAATTTACGAACCCGTTTTAATGCTCATAGGTCAGATATCAAATTAAGACAAGCCTGTTTCTAATCATTTCAACCTCGACGATCCTTCAATAGACGATCTCACCCTAATCCCAATTGACTCATAGAAATTGACTTGCCCGAAGATGAAACAACCAAATTCCGTCAATCTAGGGAAGCCCATTGGATTGAGACATTGAATACAGCAAGACCTATAATACTAAATATTCACCATAATGTAGGCATAGCACCCTTCGTTGTCTCGTTCAATACAACTAGCAATCGAGCAAGCAAGATAGTTCATGCCCACTATAAGAGACTTCAAGAGAAATTCCCCCATGTCTGTAAGCAGAAAATGATAGTTGCATATTCAACAAATAAGAACTTAAATGATAATATTGTTCACAGTTAACTTAAAACAATCAGTACATAACAGATACTATACTTCTCGCACATCTGGCGGGTTATTTTTTCTAATTTCAGATCAGAATCAGAACAGAAGAAAACCCAATATCAAGACCCTTAATCCTAATTTCTAAATAAAGTGCCTGCTCCACCCTAGGCCTGTACATTTTGGAGAACCAACCCTCCCTTCCCCGAAATCTAAAAATAGTCGTTTTGTGAATTGCCAAACTCTAGCGGATGAGTATAACCGTTAGTAGTCTACTTTCAATTTTAGTAACTCAAAATTTTCATGGTCATCATGTAATGAATTTTTTTAGGAGACATTAAGGATTGGTCAGGCTTTTCGACATGTTGGAAAGCTTTCAACCAGATTTCTGGAAAAAGTTGTAGAAGGTTGAATTTCGTGTTTTAACATGGGAAGAGATGGCAAATGAATTAGTGGAGTGAGTCATATATAAAACGTTATTAATTATTAAAGCAGGAAGGGTTATCTGACTCGCAAATTACAATGCGATATCGCTAAATTTAAACCCTGAAATATTATTTTAGTGTGGCTCAGAAACTAACTTTTATTTGAATTAAGAATGAGATTGATAAGACAGAATATTTAATAATTCATGCTTCTTACATTGATACTTTAAATACAATATGACAATGAAACAAATAAACAATATATTTGTTATTGAAATGAACGGTACTACATGTCAGACATGTCAGATTGTTAAATTGGTGACATTATTTTGTCAGTATCAGTTTGGTTCGTTATGGTGAGTATGACCCATGTTCACGTTAACAGACTACGAAGGATTTCTCCTTGAGTTGAGATTTGTTCTTTGATCTCTTTGGTTCCAAAAATCTGTGCAGCTGATCTCATAATTTATATTGATATTTACAGAAAACTTATTTTATCAGATAAGCACTGTCGGCTTTGTGACATCTTCGATATGGTGGATTGACTGATTATATCTTGATGGCCAGTGTTTTATATTTAATCTTGCGTTCTGAAATGTTCTTGGACAGAGAGTACCCATGTTTTAACATGATTATATCTTGATTCCTCTTCAAGTGATGTACCAGGAATAGATGTTCGACTGTTTGGTACTCGAATTATATTTGGTTGAAGAGCTCGTGACCATAATGATGGTCTAAAAAGAAATTCATTAAATGGATGTTTACGTCTATTGCAATCTACGTTGCTTCTTACACAATTACTTGGTGGTTTCTTTCCTTGTTTTCTGGAGTTCTGATTAGATGGTAGTGGAGGAGGCTCTTGGTTATTTTTTCTTGTATTCTGACCAGATTTATGGTTTTCTCTTTTTCCTTTTGGTGGCATTGGTTCCTGATAACTAAGTGGTTTTAAAGTCCCTCTTGTGTATTTATTGGCATTTTGCTGAGATGGTAGTGGCCGTTGCTCTGTGATGTTCTGTCCAAATCTATAATTCTTCCTCACCCCTCTTGGTGGCTTTGCTGCCTGTTTTGGTGGTTCTCTCTTGTATTTGCTGTTATTCTGATTTGATGGTAGAGGAGGCTTTTGATCATTTCCTCTGATGTGTTTCCCAGAATTATCGACTGTTTTTTGTCTATTTGATGGTAGTTCTCTTAAATTGTAACTAAAATTATTGTATCTTTGACGAGATGAACTGGGAAGATTCTGATTGATCTTCATTGTATATTTTGAGGCATTCGTGAGATTTCGTCTGCTGGGCAATACAACATCTGTTGTCTTCTTGCTCGATGATGCCTGGTATTTGTTGTTGTAATATTTCAACACTCCTCTCTTTTCAATGGTTTCCGGAGAAGAACCCGGAGGACTTGATAGCTCGGTTTCCTCCACGGAAGATGAAGGCTCTTTCAGAGTACTATCAACGGAAGGTGTCTCTTGATTGGGTGTTTCTTTTGGGCTTATTTTGTTTTTAAGAAACCTCCTCCACCATTTCTTAGATTGTTTGTTCCCCTTGTTTTCTTCAACGACAAAACATGTTTCCTCGTTACAAATATGCATGTGTTTGTCAATTTGGAAGGATTTATCGTTCTCTTTATTTTGGAACGTCTGAAGGTTATCTGTTGTTAGCTGTGAAACCATTCCGTCCTGAGCTGATAATGCTTCATCTTGATTATTTTCCAAGTTGTTTGGACTAACACCTTCTCCTCCGTCTTGTGATGGACGTTGTCTCGTTCCAATCTCTGGGTAAAGGACTATTTCTTGAGATTTGTCAAATGGATTGTTGAACGATATGGTAATGTTGTTCCCCATCCTTAAACAAAAAAAAAAGAAAGGTTATTTCAGTTTTTGATATGCTCAAGAGTAAATTGTTATTATACGTAATGATTGGCAGCGTTGGTCTTAGTTGATAAGAGATCATCTCAACTTGCCAGTACGTTAATTAGTGTACTAATTTCTTCTACAGGAAATTAATGAATCTTGAAATAAATAAAATAAATAAACCAAGTATACTAAAGATCTGCAACCGCAAAACGAAACCCAAAATCCAAAATAAGATATTGGCGTTCATTGCTTGCCGCTAATATTTCTTGTATCGATTTACTAGACTTTCATCTTTCTTTATTCAGGAGAAACTGGCCTTTAGTATCTTGCATCTAAAGAGTATCGTAGATTACTAGGGATCCTAAGTCAAGATCGAAATTTCTTCCTTGCATTGATCTTTCCTTGATCTTCTCCCCTTTAAACGACTTGTTAGATCTGTTAGAAATCGACAAACAAAATATTCTTACCTGTATTAACAAATCTTCTGGGATACTTTTCAAAACAGAATTATTTGCAGAATTTTGTTTTTTCACAAAGATAGACGTCGTCTCTAGGATAGCGCTATCTTA